GCGTAATCTTAATCGTATCGATACATAGTCGATCGAGAGGTTTAGTAGCCCTGTTATAGTTAACTATAGACTGTTGTCTAGTTAACTTAGCTTTCTCACAGCTAGGGCACTGTAAATCGTCCTTTTTAAGCTGGTTGATAGGAATCCCCTTAGTTATCTTAGCTGTCTTATATAGGTAAGAGTAACTAGGATGTCCTAATTTGTTATGCCAATCCATAGTAGGATTAGTAGGGTTATTACCCTTAAGATTAGGGTTATTTTGACCCTTTAGACCCTTAGGGTTAGGGTTACCTTGTAATTCCTCAAAAGCCATATAGTTAGAGGCTTCAGAATCGGAAAGTTCATCGATTCTAGAGGATAAATCAACCTCGTTATAATTAGAGGTAGTAGACTTTTTAGTCTTATTAGTTGAGGAGGACTTATTCGTCTTCTTATTCCTCAAACTATGAATATCAGGTTCTAATTTCCCATATATAGATAGGAAAAATCCCCTTTTAGGGATATTTAAGGCAGCAAAGGCTTTGTGAGACGGGGTATATAAATAATTCCCGTTAATATAGCCTCCTGAGAGATAGTGCCTTAGACCTGAAATAATATTTATAGGGAAATCCGGTATATATAAGGCTTGTTCAAGCCTAATAGTTGACCTTTGACCTTTAAAGTAGAGCGGTAGGTCTATAGTACCTTGGCCCTTAGGTTTTATAGGTCCAGCGCCTGTTTTGACTTCTGGGAGGTTGTCTTTAGAAGTATAGGCTGTAAAGAATTCTCTACTGTTAGCTATGTGAACAGTAGAACCGGAATCATACAGCCACCAGTTCTTAGGACTAGAACTAGAACTAGGGCTATTAGGCCTCTTATTAAAGTAACTAGCATCAATCCCACTATAATATTCTAAATTATAGAAAGAGTAGGAGTTGCTAGGAGGCTGTTGGTTTTCTCTTTTATTATTGCCTTTAAAGGCATTAGGTCTATAGTTAGACCTCTTAGTCTTTTTAGACCGTTGTTGAGACTGTTGCCTATGGATATAGGAATTAGACATAGGGGTGTCCTCATCACGCCTATTTTCATCTAATATATCCGTAATAAGGGCTTCTAAAGTAGGTATCTCTTTAGAACGTAAGGCAGCCCTTTGCCTTTCAGCCCAAATAGGAAATGATTTTGATAAGGCAGCTATAAAGACCGTATTTTGGTCTATAGTCTCGATTTTTGCTCCTACAGAGGCTAATTTAGATAAATAAGCCTTAAAAGAGCTAATAAATAGATTTAAAGAGCTATAATCCTCGAATTTAATAGCGTGGAATTCGAGATATAGCTGTTGCCTTAGAACCGGCCCGGAACCTTCATAGGTATCCTTTAGTAACTTTAGGGCTTCTGCTGGGTCTTTATTATTAAAAACCAGGCTAAGAGGTTCTGGCTGTAAATTTTGCCTTATAACTAGTAAGGCTTGTGATTTTTGCTCTTCGGTTATAGCTGAATATTTCTCTTGATCCTCAAAGTATTGGGATAAATTCAGCAATTTAAAATAGATTTGAAGGGTAGTAATCCAGGTATTCCAGTTATCTATACCCTTTAATCGTTGATTTTCAGGCATTAAACAGCCTGTAACGGCTCTTATAGCAGTAGTAGTAGTCGTAGTAGTCGAAGACATATTGACTTTTAATAGGGTGCTTATTGCCCTTAAATATAGGGACTTATAGCCCTTGGGTACTTATTGCCCTTGAGATAGGGGACTTATAGCCCAAAAACTGCTTATAATATAGGGAATTTATCCCTTAATAGGCTGCTGAAGATACTAAGGAGCTATGCCTTGAGTAAATAACAGGTATTTTGCCTTGTTATTAAGTGCTAAGCCCTAGGATATGCCTTTATAATAGGGTATATAAGCACTAAAAGCAGCAAGTAATATCTTAGAATAATAGTTTCTAAGACGTAATCCCCTTAATAGTCTCGTATTTAGTAGTACTAAGGACTTACACTTCGTCTGCCTTAATAGTACTAGAATAGAGTTAAAGTTTTAGACTTTTCGTCTTAGGGGAATATAGCCGTTATAATAATAACCGTTATAATAATATACGGTTTAAAAGAATAATAAATATAAATTCCTAAAACTTATATCGTTTATAGGAATAAAATAGAGTTTAAGATATTTAATAACCGAAGAGTTGAGGATAAAAGAATAAGTAAAGTTATTACTCCGCTGGGCTCATAACCTGTTGGAACGGTAGGTAGGAATCTCGTAGATAGTACGATATCCTTATAACAGGGTATTAGAGTAAGGGAACTTGTACTTATGAAGTAGGGCTTTAATAGTAAAGAATGTATAGGCTTATATTGAAGCTGAGTTGGTTGAGGAACTAATAGCTAGCTAAGGGAGAGAATTAGGCTAGTTATATAGTAGTATAACGTCGCCTATAATAGCTAATATAGGAAGCTATAAGCTAGGTTTAGTATACGTAAGTATATACGTCAACTAGCTTATAAAGCAGCTTATAAATCAGACCAGAATCTTCTTTAACTAAATAGACTTTTAGATAAGGTTAAAGAGAGTATTCCATAGGGATCTGAATGTCATATGTTTAAACTAGCAAGCAGCCATTCTTAGCTAGTTACTTTTGTAAGTCCTACTAAGTCTTAGATAAGACTAAATAGGATAAATAAGTAAAATAGAAGTATAATATACTTATACTTCTAACATTAATGCACATCGTTTTCATCTCGATTAAGTTCAGTGAAACCAGAAGAGCATCTGCCATACTCCCCCTGAGTAAGCGGAGTCCCACTGGAATATTGCCGCCCGCGCCAACGATGTAGTTCGTTCCATACAACAGAATAGAATCTGAGCTAAATTGGGCAAGAAATTTCTTGGAGCCCTTGTTGAAATTCTGCCAGCGGGATTACTCTCGGCAGCTCAGGGACAGCATCGAAACCTCAAAGAGTCTTTCGGTTATTCCGGAGCTCAATGCGTAACTTCTAGGCTGTCCTAGCAATCAATGTTACAGCCAGCCTTCCACAGCAGAGCTTGAACTTAGCATCAACTGATGTTTGGTACTGGGCTGGCTTGCTGATCTTGGAAGGTCATCCAGTGAGTATGGGATGACTTTTCTGACAGAATACAGCAAGTAAAATCCTTACCAGCCACTTTGCAACAGGGGATATCTAATTCAAGAACCATCTGTCACTAAAAGACTGCTGCCCTCTCAGCCGCACCCTATGAGCCTGAAACCCAGACGTTAGACACTTAACGGCGCATTCAAAGAGGGTCACTCTGACTGTGAGACTCTTGACATCACTTGGTCCCATGACAGTGAGTTGACAATAGCCCCAAAACTCAGATTCTATTAATTAATATACGAAAGTTGGAAGTTCTCGCCCTTTCATTCCCACCACTTCTAGCTCGAACCGGAACTCGGTACAACATACGTAACTGGAGTCCAGACATGTGAGTTTGGCCAAAAGAATTACGCTTAGCTAGTGCATACTTTGAATACCTATCCGAAAATATCCGACAATCCCCAGATATCTATATAATACAGCATCTCCTTCCTTGCCTCACCAGATTCTTGGAAGAATTTCAGTATTGTTCCCTCAACACCTACCCACACGATGCATTTCAGCAAGTTTTTGATAGCAACCCTGTTGCCCTTCATGTAAATGGCTCTAGAGTCCAGCTCGCTTCTTATTCCTGCTAATACAAATAGGGCTAATGCCGCTACTCACGGGGCATGCTATTGTAATGCCGACATTAACAACCAATGCCAAAAGGACGCCTGCAGCGCCTACGGAAATAGTCGTCAATTTTTCGACCTACCCCCTGGAATTAACAAGTATAACGCGGCAACAACATGGAAAGACAACGTATGTTGATTTCGTGATACTAGTATTTTAAGGCAAAGACTTACCCTATGGTGATATTAGAGATGCAGATCGGTTTATGGTACTAACCAACCCTTCCGTGGCATTGGAGGCAATGAATGGCTGGCTGCGTGCGAATCGCACTGTAAAACTGGTTCGAAATGTGACGGTTAGGCATCGCATGTGAATCAAAAGCGAACAGATATTTGAGATCAACCCTTACGTGGGGTGCAGTTGTGGTCAACTACAATAGCTTTATTGAGAAATTCACCTAAGATGCTTTGAAATTGCAAGCTTTTATCAGCATTTGGTATTTGTTGCTCATAAAAATCTAAAGCTCAGATCCCAGGATGGAGGGCACAATTTAAACAAGAGCCTCTTGTGATCGTACCACTGTTAGGCAACAGACTTGCGTATGTTGCAAGAAATGAACTAATACTCCCTTAAATTCACAGACTTTGCACAAGTAAAACTTTCAGAGTTCATTTCAGTCTGTTAAAACCAGCCCATAAGAGCTAATAGTGGATGGGACTGAGAAATCACATATCACCACTGTCTCATGATAAGGAAAATTTACAAGTGCGCCGCAAATGGAATTCGAGTGATTAGTGTCATGTTTCAGGAACTGTAAGCAAGAATTATTAACTTATCATGACTCCGACATTGCTACCTTGTTAACTGCTGGTCTTTCGTTCCATCAGTCCAGCCAAGACGGAATCCGAGATGTTCCATCTTCTCTTGTCCCTCAGATAAAGTTTATCAAGGAAGTTGTTATCAACTCTCGGAAGATGACAGCGATTCGAAAATGAAATATTGGAAAGTAACAAATCCCGTTAAGTGGAAGGAAATCCGGTTTTATGAAGTAATGAATAAGCTCTTCAGCGAGCCTCTCTATCCGAATCTCCCCCCTGCAGAGTCGTCTCCTTACTCCATTTCTTACGTCCTTGACGCTGTTACATCACTGCCATGCAAATCATCCGTTGGCGGCAGTAGGGATTTCTTAAATTCAAGATGGCCGGCAATTCGGCGCACCAGAGCGGTTTTGGCTAGTGGTTTGTAATCAGGGAATCACACACTGCCCGGATACAACAACATACTTTGATCGTGCTGTCACAATAAACTTCTCCATCTGTCTTCGTGTTGCAAGTCTACTTCAGCAGGTCGTTTTTGATTATAGAATACACCATCTCATCCATCAGGACGCCATCTTTAATCACGGCGTTTCTCAATCTTCCCTCGAACTGAAATCCACTCTTCCTCAATACGCCTTGACTCGCCTTATTCTCCGAGAACACGCCGGCCCAAAGTCTTTCAACGCGGACTTTCTCCTCTCCCATTCCGCCAAAAACCCATTTCACAAAAGCGGGAACCAATTCGCTCATGATACCACGCCCCCAGAACTCCTCGCCCAAGAAGTAACCCAACTCGAACCCAGCTGAGTATACATCTTTGCCGGGTATGACACCAATGCTACCCATTGTACGGCCTGACGTAGGGCATATGATGGCCCAATTACGCAGTGGGGAGGTTTGGTTTATTGAGATCCAGCCCTCAGCGTCGGAGAGTGTGTACGGCTGTGGGAAATGGTTGCGCAAGAAGGCAGCAACGGCCTTTGAGTTTGCAGCTTGTGAAAGTGATGCTGCATCTGAGGCGTGGTATTGGCGGACAATGCTTTTTTGGAGACTTAGTATGGGAGAGGGTAGCTCTGATGATGATGCCATCTTGTAAATTTGGATTGGCACTGGTAACCAACTTATGGGTTATTTTCCAAACAATTTGTTATATTTCGCACCGTGCTGGACAAGTCAAAATCTTGGTGGTGATGTTTCGTGAGGTGGGAGTTGAATTTGACTTCTAGGAAGTTTTAAAGTTGCAATCTCCAAGTTGTGGAAAACATACACTCGGAAAAAAAAGAAGCTGCAGTTTAGTTATTAAGTTACTTTCAGTTGAGTTATGCGTCATTTGATGACTCTTCTTGCAAAAGTACCGTCAGCGATAAAAGAGTCAGCGGTATTATGTAATCGACATAGACGGAGGGCCTTCCTGACAGTAGTCTAGTCGAATCTCAAGTTCAACGGGATGTAGGGCTTGCAAAATAGCCAAAAGAAGAAAAAACGATGGATCAAGTAGACAGCATAACGCAAACTGCAGCCATCACTTTGAGCCTTTAACCTGAATACCGGAAAACTGGCCGCTGTTTTGGGACTCTTGGTTTCGAATCGTAGCAGAAGTACAGCGCTTAAGGGAACCCACAAGCCACTAAAATATTAGTCGCCGTCTTTCACTATGGGTTGAAGATACCCAAGTTAGGGGGAGCATTCCCACCCGCCCCCTTCCCACTAGGAAGACTTGAACCTGCTTTAAGTCCAGTTTCGGTTGGCTAATGCGACCTCTAGTGGGTTCTGCCGGATATAACAGGCCGCAAACTTTGCCGCCCGGAAACGAAACTAAAGCACCCAATTATCCTGCGAGTAGAAAACCAGACACGACGAATATGGATATACCTAGAATGAAAACAAGATGGCTAGAGTATGGTGAGTTACGGCTAGGGTTGCTATAACAGTAGGTAGGTTTAATCCACAGACAGCTTACAGACCTTGGGGACTTAGAATATATTGCAACGTGCCGCCATCCAAACTGCGCAACAGCAGGAGACATAGATATCAGGTATGAAGCATATTCACAAATTAGATACAACGGCGCAGGTCGATCATGGGTAGCAACAGAATCAAGTATTTCAACTAAGTGATATTTAGATCGTATACAGAAACATGCGAACACCGCAACTCAATAGCCATATGAACACGGGCTGCGCGTATATGCCGAGCCTTATGTGTAACAAGAATTGATTGAACGGCGAGTGGCATATCGTGAATGATGTACCCGTCTATCTAGGAGCTTCTCATTATGTTAGGTACCTTTTTGAATATAGCAACAGACGGAAGTGAATGGTCAATACGTACCGCTGAATCCTCAACTTGAAGGTAGAATCGGGGTACTCTGTGCTAACCTTCTGTAGGCTGATCTGCGCACTAGTAAGTATATGCGTTCAATCTCGCTAGAGAGGCAGGGACTTACATTGAATCCCGACCGCTGGATGTGTGGTTGAAACCAACTTTCGTTTTGGTAGATTTTATCGGCCCATTCATCAGTTCTCAACTGGTTCAAATCGCCGTTGATGATCGTCGTCGCATCAATAAGATGGACGCTAACAACGCTGCCATTAGATGCGGGCATTGTTGCCCAGACAGTAAACTGAACGTTTTTAGAGGAGTCGGGACCATTCACAGCTACGAAAGAAAGGGCTGTAAAAAGCCCAGCTGTGCCTCCGGACTTGGAAATCTTGACAGTCTGGACATCGCCTTCAGTTTGTACTGTGGTTGTACCGCCAAGAGTAGAATAGGTGGAGGGTGCGACGAAGGCGATGTAGTGATCGGTTTCGTTCTTGAGCTCGATGGTCATAGTATAGGGAGCCATTGTGAAGCGTTTGAGGGAAAATATCTGATACCGGAGAAGATGAATGCTGTCTGATGATCTACGCTTGAGAAAGGAGGAGTATCCTGGCACTTTATACGAATGAATGTTCTGAAGATGATCATGCGTAAACTCTAGGGTTTGACAGAAACCCTTTCCTGGACGCAAGTGTTTGTGGACGAACACATCAAGTAATCTGCTTTCGTGTTATGGCAACCTATGATAGCAACACTAAAATGTGAGACAGTTTGTCAGTATACCGCTTTCAACTACAATTTCGCTGGTTTCACACTTTTGACACCACCAAGTAATCCTCGACCAATCCTAACAACAAGTTGTTGGGCGCGAGCTCAGGCGGGTTCTTGTCGGCGAACCAGCACCCTCTTTTCCGTTAGGCAACTCAGAAGAACAATTCTGGGGGAAGATATGCCATAAAATTGGTGTGTCGAAACAACACGTGCCATGTCCCAATCTTGCTCAGGGAGGGAGGAGGGGCTCAAAAATGACGGATCTGCTTTTAGCCTGTGGTCGCGTTCACATGTTTTGCATAACGTCCCACACCCACTTCTGGGCACCCCCCACATTTGGGCACCCCATTTACACCAAAAACGCCGTTTTTCGAAATTCTATATTAAACTAACTACTATACTTACTAAGAAAAGAAAATATATATAAACTATGTTAAGTATAATTATAGCCATCTAATTTTTTATAAAGGTTTAAATATAATAATAGTTATAATATAGAAGTTTAAAACTAAAAGCTTTAAAATGTTAGTAGATACTAGTAACTTACTAGTATTCCTTAACATTAGAAAAATATATTTTCGCTTATATATACTTATTTAAAAAATCTAGGAAATTAATATTTATACTTATTAAAAGTATATAATTATATCTAAAAGAGATTTAAAAGTATTACTTTAGTAAATATAGTATAATTAAGGGTTAAAATTCTATAATAGAAACTTTTCTTAAGGGAAATTTTAAAATATTATTCTAAGCTTAAAGAATTTTTTACTAAGTATAAGAATATATAAATCTACTATATCTTACTTAAAAATTCTAATCATATTAGTTAAATATCTCTACCTATTTTATATATTAAGATATAGGCTAGGTAAATTAGTATTATAAATGTTAAACCTTGAATTTATAATACTTATTATCAATAATACTAGTATATAGCTACTTAAGTATTATAATTAAGTCTTAATCTATTTAATATATATTTATTCTCTTTAATAAGTAAAGTATTTAGTTTAATATAGAATTTCGAAAAACGGCGTTTTTGGTGTAAATGGGGTGCCCAAATGTGGGGGGTGCCCAGAAGTGGGTGTGGGACGTTACCTAAAATATCGTAGTATTCAACATTCATGGTGGTCAGGCGGCTGAGAAAACATCCCCTGAATCTGGCATGCCAGATGGGTTGAAAATTGCAATATAGCTGAGAACCTACCTGGTATGTCTCAGCTCCAGGTTTAAGTTCAGCCCTAGAGTGAGGCGTGGCTATCCCCTCAAATACCACGGGGCAACATTTTTGCCAAGGCTAGAATTCCTACTTTAACAGCCACTTTTTCCCCAGCTTCTTTTCTCCCTTTCTGTTTCTTGCTAGTTCAATATGGCATTTTGTGCCGGAGATTGCTGGTACCACTAGCATCCCCAGAATTCATAACGAGGAGATGTACAGTTCATCTCCGTATATGATTTCTGAGACTTGTGGACATAGGGGCTCTGTGTTACGGCCAGCTAACTGACAGTGGGTTTGTGTTAACAGTAAGCCAGGGATTGAGAGTAGTAACAGTCGTTCCGTGGTCCTGGTCGAATAGATCGTAGATCTTCAAAGGTCTTGGTGATCAGTCAAGGCCTCAACAAGAGTCGTAGAGTAGTCGTCACTTAGGTATAGCTGAAAGTACCGGTTAGGGTAATCACAAAGTTGATTGCTGAAGAGCTATGGAAGTCTGACCATGGGCCGAGCTCAGGTCATACTATATACAAGTCCTGGACAGTCCCTGTGTCTTGTCGCTGATCACTGATCAGGTACCGGTGAGCGATCAGTGATCGTTAGTGAGCGCTCAGTAGCCCTGACTGAGCGCTCAGTGACCCATACTACCTGCTCAGTCTTATCTTATCATCACGTGACTTGTACCATAGTTCTTCCGTTCCCGAGTGAGTCCCTGTTGTTCCCGTGATCCTGCAGTACAAATGTCCTGTTCTAGCCGCCCGACGCCCAAGTGGGTCGTTCAGCTGTTATCCTTGTTTACGGGTCGTAACATCAGGTCTCCTCTCCAAGGGTCTTGTCCTCAAGACCAGCTTAAGTAGGTCGTCTGCCCTCAGGTGGGAGGGCGCCCAACTTGCTTCCTTTAATGATGCTCACATCATGTCAGGTCGCGTCAAAAAACGAAAGGTCGTTCGATCGTTCGATTCTCGTGCGGAAAAGACAAAGCAGCGCGATTCCCTCTTGAGTCTTATCTTGGGCAATCGTACCGTCATGCCTGTTTGTTCCTCCTGTGAGGTAAAGGGTTTTTCGTCGTGCGAAGCTTCTCTTTCTGATTCCTCTCGATGCGCCGAATGCGTTCGTGGCGGCAAGTCCTACTGCGACCTTCAGGGTCTCAGTGCCCAACAACTTCGTCGGATTGGTGATCAGCATCAGAAGCTTGAGGATGCTTTGGAGAAGGCAGAAGAGGAGCGTCGTGCTCTGGACGCCAAAGTAGAGCGTCTTCGAAAGCAGAAAAAGATGTGGTTTGAAAAGATGATGCGCGCGGTGCGCCGTGGTATCGACAGTGTGGAGGAGTTAGAGCGTGTTGAGAGAGAGGAGGCAGAGGCAGAGCAGCGTCGGGTAGAACCGGTTCGTCCTTCGGCTGATTCGCCTCGTCTGCCGGTGGAGTTCACAGCGGATTGGGATACCCTGTACCCGGATGTCGCTTTGTCGCCATCCTTGTTGGCTGAGTTTGGTTTGTTGGATTCAGGGTCGGTTGTTGAGAGGCGGAGTACTCCTGAAGCGTCTCCTGGGGGTGTTGGAGGCCCTTAGTGGGTTCCTTTAGGCGGCTCTGGGGTTCCTAAACGAATGAGAGGGTGTTTATCCCGTGGCTTGTTTGATCGTGGTGGACGGATGATGGGTTGTGGTTGTCGTAGTCGAAATTGACTTTTTGGCGTTTGTTTTTCGATTCGTACTGGTGCTTGTCTTTGTTGTTCTTGTTCTTGCTGTCTCTAGTAACGTCCGAGTTCTTCCTGTGCGTTTTCGAGGCTCTGAGGTGGTTCCCATGTGTTGTCTTCGTGTCCGTATCCTTTCTACTTGACAAGGTAGCGGATACTTTTTTGTTCTTCGATGTGATCGATTATCCGTTCGACTTCGTATTCTTGTTCTGGATCTACTTCGATATAGTCCGTAGTGTACGATCCCTTTGGTGCTGATTCGAGAAGTGAAATGTGAAAGACTGGATGACACTTCATGCTGTCGGGTAGTGCGAGTTTAAAGTTGACGTTGGATACCTTCTTCGTAATTTCAAAGGGTCTAAGTTTCTTGAAGTCTAACTTATCGCTTGGTCGTTTTGTTTTGATGTTGCGGCGGAGAAGGTATACACTATCCCCCTCCTTTAGAGTTGGTCCCTCAACTCTTGATTTGTTGGCGTATTTGCGTATGCGTTCGCGCACAAATTCGAGGTCTCTGGGGAGTTCCTGCTGGATCTCCTTAAGTCTGTTGATGTCTGCCATAGCTTTCAGAGCTGCTGGGCCTTGTCGAGGTTGTCCGTAGGCTGTTGGGTTGAATCTATAGTTCAGATAGAATGGTGATTCTTTTGTACTTTCTCCTACTGCGCTGTTGTAGGCGAACTGGGCCATAGGTAGCAGTTGAACCCAGTTGTCTTGCTGATAGTTGACGTAGCAGCGTAGGTAGGTTTCCATGATCTGATTGATTCGTTCTGTCTGGCCATCGGTTTGCGGATGGAAAGCGGTGGACATCTTGTGGTCAGATCCTAGCTGCGAGATCAGGGATCTCTAAAACTTAGAAGTGAACAGCTTGTCTCTGTCGGATACGATTTCCTTCGGCATTCCGTGTTGGCTTACGATCACCTGCAGAAACTTGTAGGCGAGGTCTTCTGCAGTGCTAGACTCCATGTACGGGATGAAGTACGAATACTTTGTGAGTCTGTCGACGATGACGAGGACACTGTCGTAGTGGACGTTGGTTATCGGTTCACGGGACTTAGGTAACTTAGTGACGAAGTCCAGCGAGATGGATTCCCATGCGGTTTGCGGCACTGGGAGCGGCTGTATCTTTCCATAAGGCTGATGTCGGCTGGGTTTGCTTTTCGCACAAACCTCACAGTCCTTAATCGCTAAAGATACTTCTTGTCGTGTAGCCGTTTTGTCGTAGTGTTAGCGGATGCGTTTCCATGTCTTAGTTACGCCTTGGTGACCGTGTGCGGGTGCGGAGTGTATCTCCCTAATGGCTTCAGGAGACATCCTTCCAGGCGTGCTGGTACTGTCTCTTCTGGCCATTATTAAGAGTCTGGCTGCTGGCACAAGGTCTCCGTTTTTGTCTGCTTTGAGGATAACTCGGGTTTCCTCAGGTACCTGGACCTTATGGTCCGGTCTTCGGCTGAGGGCGTCGGCCCTGCCGTTTTCTTTGCCTTTCCGGTAGACGATTCTGAAATTGAATTCTGACAAGAATTCGGACCATCGAATTTGTCGTTTGTTGAGATCTTTCGATGTGGTGAAGTGTGCGAGATTCTTGTGGTCGGTGTATACTTTGACCTCGTACTTGGTTCCTGAGAGTTGCGGTCTCCATTCTTTGAATGCTTCGATAATTGCCATGAGTTCCTTGTCGTGTATCTGGTAATTGAGTTCTGGGCCGTGTAGTTTGCGTGAGAAGAAGGCACAAGGTCGTAGCTGTCCTTCTTCGTCTCGTTGACCTAGTTGTCCTCCTATGGCATAGTCTGAGGAGTCGGTCTCGACTTCGAATGGTTTCTCGGGGTTTGGTATGACGAGTATTGGTTCCGATGT